TTACAGAACTTGTCTATGTCTTTAACAATATATGACTTTAACCAAGTATTCATATGTCCTTGAATGACAATCATGTCTTTCCTGTTATTCAATTCAAACACAAATGTTATTTGATGTGTTAAATATTTTGGAAAAATTAACAAATAAGTATAAATTCTTCCACAAGGTCATATACAGTCGACTATTTTGTATGTTTGATATCGATATATTGGTGATCGTCCCTAAAGACCGTCAGACTCTATTGACAGGTTATTCACTAATGTTCTACAGAGTATGAGTAATCATTTTTGTTTCGAGATGAAAGTGCACAATGAATTGGTTTATTTCATAGGGCGATGTTTTTTTTTTCTCGTTAGTATCGAAAGAAAGAATAACATTATATTTTTCTCTCCACTTTTTTATCTTGGTGATGTTTTATTTGAATAAATAGAAGAAAAATGTAAAGAATTTTCAGTCTGCAAAACAAACTTTCTCTTTGCATTTTCCTACATAAATAACACGTGAATTTACTTTCAACTTCTCTATTATTGTCTATTCAAATGAACAAGAATTATCAAGAATCTCCACCGTCGTACCGTAGGTTCCGTTTATTTATTAAATTCATCGATTAAAATGATTTCATTCTCAGAAGCTTGTCAGGAAAAACCTTCTGCACCTCGTTCACCATTGATCACCTATGAAAGACTATCAACAGACGAGAGAATCGAACACAGCCGATTCATGGGCTACAATGAAGCAGATTTGGCTATGATTTCGGATCAAGATCTTCGGTCTGTTTCAGTAGGTCATGAGCCCGTACAATGTATTTGTTCAAATTGTCGTTCCTCGGTCGTCACCCTCGTAAAGCAAACACCAGGATTATTAGTTTGGCTTCTCTGCCTTCTTATAATCATCGTCGGCTGCTGGCTTGGCTGCTGTCTGATACCATTTTGTATACGTGGAATAAAAAATACTCAACATTACTGTCCAAATTGCAAAGTATTAATTGGTGAATATCGTCCGTTATAATCTCAACTAGATTTCATATATATATATATATTGATCAACATAAATAGTGTTCGACAGTCTTTTATAATAAAATATTCATATAAACAAATATTGATATATGTGAACTAATCCATAAATTGACTATTTCGTTTCGTCTTGTGTTGTGTTAATTAATAGTATATTATCATGTTTGACAGCATGAAATACTTGTTTACTACTTTTTATTAGGCTTCGGATTTTATTTTCCACATTTGAACTATCATTTATTTGCATAATTAGATTGAACATACGACCGACAGTGGGTATGAGAAATTCTTGATAGTAATAATTATTATCAAATTGACGATCATCAATAGTTTTTCTTTCGTCATACAACTGTTCGATATAGTGCCGATGAGCATTTATCAAACGATTAAATATACGTGCGAACATTTTCAATGAACCTGCCCTTTTGGTCTCGGGCATATCCAACTGAAAAGACATCATAACGAAGAATTTTGAAATCAAATACGAAAACCTACCCTNTATGAGAAATTCTTGATAGTAATAATTATTATCAAATTGACGATCATCAATAGTTTTTCTTTCGTCATACAACTGTTCGATATAGTGCCGATGAGCATTTATCAAACGATTAAATATACGTGCGAACATTTTCAATGAACCTGCCCTTTTGGTCTCGGGCATATCCAACTGAAAAGACATCATAACGAAGAATTTTGAAATCAAATACGAAAACCTACCCTAAAGACTGATTATATCTATAAATAATACTCCTTGATAGGAGATCGGCATGATTATGTTTATATTTATCGAAAAAAGCAAGTATATGACGTGCGTGTGTCCACGTGAGATCTAGCTATGTCAAAATAAAGTTCATGAAGTTTGTTTTCTTAATCATCTCTAACTGACATGATATTTCCTGAAACGATCATAAAACAGTGAGTAGTGTAGAAGTCGTTAACTCGATTCGAGCATTAAAACTTCCTTCGAATTCTAAATCTTCTACTTTAGAACTCGAAGCTTCGAGTTCTAGATTTACAAGTTTAAAACTCGAAGTTGAAAGTTTAATACTCGAACTTTGTTTTCGAGTTATACATGTATGAAGAAACAGATATACATTTTAGGAGTGCCAGTTTAACTTAACTTTAAATGTTCAAGTTAACACCATTCTTGCGATAAGCCGTAGCTCAGTTCTATAGTTTGTGACTTTAAAAAGAAATAAAAGATGATGTGACTAGTTTTTCAGGTCGAGAAACGATTATTTTTCCTTTTTTGTTTTATCTATCATCGAACAAGATTCGAAAAAATGAAACGAACACACTGAGAGATTATACTGCATGAAGCTTTCAGGAAACTACAACGTGAAAGTTATTATAATCATGTGTTTCATTTACTAAAAGACGTCAAATGGTGCAAAGCAATCAGTGAAAACTGACTTGGTGGCATTTAGTGTTCTCGAAAACAAAGCTTACATAATCAAAATCAATCTCTGATGTAAGCTGTAGAGTTTTTTTATCTTCCACTATATGTACTTTTCAGCTAAAGAGATTAATTTCGAGGTGTCAATTTCTTTTGAAGAAAATCGAATCGGGTTGCAAAGGAGTCAAAAGCATCAAAGATTTCCTACTTTTAATTCTTAAAATTTCTATTTTAAAGGTCAAAACAGAATTCAATGAGCATGCGTATTCTAATGCCATCTTTCTGCGCACGTCAACAATTCGTAACTGTTGATATCATTACACGTCATCTGTTTTCGTCAAAAACATATATAACTACATCACCATCATGAGTGACTACTCATAACGAACAAAGTTAGACATTTTTCATCGCTTCCAGACTCTGCGGTACGGTCTGCTGCACGATTGAAATACAACATGCACACGTTTTCCACATTACCCGTCGAACTTGTTTATCGAATTATGGATCATCAAGATGAGCTGACGCTATTTTGTTCAATGCAAAATATTTCCCGGCGGCTCAATCAGATTCTGAGCACCTATGAGCGATATCGAGTAAGTTTACTTGNGCTCATAAAAGTTGCAACAACCGACGGGATTTTTCTAGTGGGATTCCAATGCAATTCCGTTTCCAGGAATCCGATCGGATTTTGTCAGATGGTCGGATCCGGTAAGATCCGATCGGATCCAGCATCGGATTTGTTGACCTGGGTATGTCAAAATAAAGTTCATGAAGTTTGTTTTCTTAATCATCCCTAACTGACATGATATTTCCTGAAACGATCATAAAACAGTGAGTAGTGTAGAAGTCGTTAACTCAATTCGAGTATCAAAACTTCCTTCGAATTCTAAATCTTCTACTTTAGAACTCGAAGCTTCGAGTTTGAAGTTCTAAGTTAGTTAAGGTTACATTTGAAATCTTTGCAGGCAGATGCTGCTGCAGGATGGTTTGGCGGCGGATGAGCGAGAGACTTCGTGTTGTTTCTGCGTGCTGTAACCTACAGTACGCTCTGTGTCATCGTCGCTTAGTTTTGTAGCTTAGAATACCCTTTCGTACGCCCCACTTTTTTGTATTTCCTGGAGCGCAGTGCCCTAAGCGCTCGGCTTGCTCTGTACTCTATAGTACTTTGTCGCCCTGTCACTTGGCTGCGTCGCCGGGAATGTTCTCCGCTATCCCCTCACTGTTACGTGTACGCTGGAACACCCTCCGCTACACCCTCACTTTGCGATATAGTCGACAACACCCTCACCCACCCACACCCTCAAACTCGAATAGTTTAAAACTCGAAGTTGAAAGTTTAATACTCGAACTTTGTTTTCGAGTTATACATGTATGAAGAAACAGATATACATTTTAGGAGTGCCAATTTAACTTAACTTTAAATGTTCAAGTTAACACCATTCTTGCGATAAGCCGTAGCTCAGTTCTATAGTTTGTGACTTTAAAAAGAAATAAAAGATGATGTGACTAGTTTTTCAGGTCGAGAAACGATTATTTTTCCTTTTTTGTTTTATCTATCATCGAACAAGATTCGAAAAAATGAAACGAACACACTGAGAGATTATACTGCATGAAGCTTTCAGGAAACTACAACGTGAAAGTTATTCTAATCATGTGTTTCATTTACTAAAAGACGTCAAATGGTGCAAAGCAATCAGTGAAAACTGACTTCGTGGCATTTGGTGTTCTCGAAAACAAATCTTACATAATCAAAATCAATCTCTGATGTAAGCTGTACAGTTTTTTTATCTTCCACTATATATACTTTTCAGCTAAAGAGATTAATTTCGAGGTATCAATTTCTTTTGAAGAAAATCGAATCGGCTTGCAAAGGAGTCAAAAGCACGAGTAACGCGGCCTAGTAGCCGCTAAACCCTCTACTGAAAGGATAATATTAGAGTTAGAGCGCTACTATTCGTCCGAATAGAGAAAAAAGTTATTTTAGTTGAACGATCTGATCTTTTGATAATTTGTCAGAATGTTTTACGTAGACTAATTTCACTTCCTGAAATCTTCGGAAATTATAACACCTAGTCGTTTGTCGGCCTCTCTCCGGTCGATCCTTCACCGCTAGCCGTTAGTACCTAATTAGTGTTTAATGATATTTTCATATTAAAAAGTACCTCGTTCTTGTTGAGTCCGACTCTAGCAAAGTTGCCGAAATTCTTCACAACTTCGTGACCTACAGTATATCTTTTATTATCATTTCTACTTGAATGAGTTGGTGATCTACGTAGTTTTTTCTCGAAGCTCGAAAAGACGTCGTATATATGTCGTATCGAAGTTATAACTTCGACCAAAAGCTAACTTCGATACGACATATATATATACCTTAGAAAAATTATGGACACCATGCGACAGTCTTATAAATCTCACTTTTCAACTAATTTTCAAAAGAAGCACCTAGTCGTTCGTGTGCCTCCCTTCGGTCGGCTACTGACGGCTAGCTGTTCCCATGCGTACTTATTTTACTATCTTAACTTCATTCGGACGAAGACGCGTTCCGAAAATGAGCACATTTCGGAAAATCAATTCATAATCAAAAACTTAGAAGCTTTACATAGCTAAATGATTCTCTGGAAAAGGTTTCAATCTTCTCTCCACCACGAGGAACCTTAAATAGCTGCCACCTATGTTCGTACAGAGCAATACTTAATTTCTGACCAAGAAATCTTAAAGCTCTATAAAAATCACAAAGTTTGTTCTTAACAATATTATTCTGCAAATCGACGACTAGTCGCTCGTCGGCCTCCCTCCGGTCGGCCACTCGCGGCTAGCCGCTACATGTACATTTTCACTCTTCCATTTAGTCTAGAGTCACTTTTGAAACTAATTCATTCATTCTCTTCTATTCCTTCTTTAAAAGTCACCCTCTTTGTGCTACTGTGACTGTTGAAGACAACACCTGACCAGCGAAACATTATTTTGAATGACTGGTATCAGATGATATTCGTATAGTATAGCTGTTTATAAAAGTGTGTGATCTCAGTAATATACTGATGACTATGGAGATCCAGCGATCGGACGTCAGTCAGCTATTACATTTTGTTCTACATATTGCCGCTTAAAACATTATCGTCTAAAAAATTGATCCTTTGTCGCAAAAAAACGGGTCAGAAGGTGTTCATGAAAAAACTAACCTCGGCTTTGAGATCCCCGACCCTGATTACCCTTCGGTCAACCCTTACTTGACAACGAAGAAAATTCTCATTGCTTAATTAGCTAATTAGCTAATGAGCTAATTGGAATTTCGAGAAACTAACCTCGGATTCGAGATCTTCGACCTCGATTACCATTCGGTCAAACTTTGTCCCCCACTAGGGTCACTGAATAGTCACTATCGAACAGTGATGTGAAAGAACGAACGAACCAACCAACCAACCAACCAACATCAACTCGTTTTTTTCTGTAATACCTGCTCGACGCATAACCCTCCTTTCAGTAGAGGGGATAAAAGATTTCCTACTTTTAATTCTTAAAATTTCTATTTTAAAGGTCAAAACAGAATTCAATGAGCATGCGTATTCTAATGCCATCTTTCTGCGCACGTCAACAATTCGTAACTGTTGATATCATTACACGTCATCTGTTTTCGTCAAAAACATATATAACTACATTACCACCATGAGTTACTACTCATAACGAACAAAGTCTAACATTTTTCATCGTTTCCAGACTCTGCGGTACGGTCTGCTGCACGATTGAAATACAACATGCACACGTTTTCCACATTACCCGTCGAACTTGTTTATCGAATTATGGATCATCAAGATGAGCTGACGCTATTTTGTTCAATGCAAAATATTTCCCGGCGGCTCAATCAGATTCTGAGCACCTATGAGCGATATCGAGTAAGTTTACTTGTCACCTTATCACTCTAGTCGGATGTGCTACACATAACTCTACTGATATTTGACGTCGCAAATTTCCTCATAGGAAGAGCTAAAGTAATTTCATAATCCACAAATAATTTGATCGAAGGAGGCAATCACAGCACGAAGTTATATGAAATCAAGCATTCCTCCACTCTCTCGCTTTTCTCCTATGTATGTTGAACTATTCGATACAAAAGTGCATCATCTATCACTTTTGATGAAACTTCCCCAATGAAGCAAACTGATCTCCACAATTTCTGGATCTATGCCTATATTCATTCGCACCCTCACCCACACACTCACACGTATACAATCAGAAGTGTCATCAAGCTTCTCTTTGCTACTTGTCCTTTTCATCATATATTGCTTTAATGTAGACACTCACCACACTAAGCCTCCGCGGTAACGAAATCAATGCTGAAGGCGCACAACACATTGCGGATGCCTTGCGAACGAATACGGTAATATTGATCTCATTTCACGGAAGGTGAAGTACTCAGTCTCTCTAACACCTACAGACACTCACCACACTAGTTCTCGGCTATAACAGCATCGGTGACGAAGGAGCACAACACATTGCGGATGCCTTGCGAACGAACACGGTAATATTGATCTCATTTGACGGACAGTGAAATACTCAGTCTCTCTCACACCTACAGACACTCACCACATTAAGTTTCCGCTACAGCGGAATCGGTGATGAAGGAGCACAACACATAGCGGATGCCTTGCGAACGAACACGGTAATATTGATCTCATTTGACGGAAGGTGAAGTACTCAGTCTCTCTAACACCTACAGACACTCACCGGACTCGATCTCGGCGTTAACAAAATCGATGCTGAAGGAGTTCAACACATCGCGGATGCATTGCGAACGAACACGGTAATATTGATCTCATTTGACGGAAGGTGACGTACTCAGTCTCTCTAACACCTACAGACACTCACCGAACTAGATCTCGGCGGTAACAAAATCGATGCTGATGGGGCGCAACATCTTGCGGATGCGTTGCGAACGAACACGGTAATATTGATTTCATTTCACGGAAGGTGAAGTACTCAGTCTCTCTAACACCTACAGACACTCACCGAACTAGCTCTCGGCTATAACAAAATCGATGCTGAAGGAGTACAACACATCGGGGATGCATTGCGAACGAACACGGTAATATTGATCTCATTTGACGGAAGGTGAAGTCCTCAGTCTCTCTCACACCTACAGACACTCACCACACTATATCTCCGCGGTAACGAAATCGGTGCTGAAGGAGTAAAACACATCGGGGATGCATTGCGAACGAACACGGTAATATTGATCTCATTTGACGGAAGGCGAAGTCCTCAGTCTCTCTCACACCTACAGACACTCACCACACTAGATCTCGGCAGTAACGAAATCGGTGATGAAGGAGCACAACACATAGCGGATGCGTTGCGAAAGAACACGGTAATATTGATCTCATTTCACGGAAGGTGCAGTACTGAGTCTCTCTAACACCTACAGACACTCAGCGAACTAGATCTCGGCGTTAATAAAATCGATGCTGAAGGAGTTCAACACATCGCGGATGCATTGCGAACGAACACGGTAATATTGATCTCATTTGACGGAAGGTGAAGTACTCAGTCTCTCTCACACATACAGACACTCACCACACTATATCTCCGCGGTAACGAAATCGGTGCTGAAGGAGCACAACACATCGGGGATGCCTTGCGAACGAACACGGTAATATTGATCTCATTTGAAGGAAGGTGAAGTCCTCAGTCTCTCTCACATCTACAGACACTCACCGGACTCGATCTCGGCGTTAACAAAATCGATGCTGAAGGGGCGCAACATCTTGCGGATGCGTTGCGGAGGAATGCAGTAAAGATTGGTTCTTTGCTGGAACAAAATTAGGAATATCTGATTTATCTAATTCTTACAGCGTCAATGTGGTGTAGATCTTGCGCTGAATGGAATGGGAGAACAAGTGATAGTGAGTTGTGTTGCGAGAAGTGGATGTGACCTGAATGAAAATGCTTTTTGTTGTGGGAAAATATATGTGGAATAGTGGAAGCGAGTGTTTTACTTACGAAGGTGTAGCGGAGCAGCGTTTGATGGAAGAGGTGGCATGATGCGATGCGTTTATGAGAGGTTCTTTTGGATTGGAATTTGTTTCTGAAAGTGTGTGATTGATAAGACAACATTGCTGCAGACTGCTCGACTATATTGGAGACATAGCAGAATTGAATTGACAGGAGTACAGCACGTTTGCATTTTACATGTCAGTTTTCGTAAAGGTAAAGTGATCAGACCATGGCACATTGAATGGGAACGATGTTTCATTATTATTTTACTGTTTTATGTTTGATTCCACAGCCTAAATCTATTGAGAGCTTGATAATGAAGTGTTATGTTTGTTTGTAATTTGTTTTTGGAGAGTAGTATGTCTCCGTTATCTATGAATTCTGTGGTGCATTGGAAAGAAACAATGTATTATAAAGTCAATAAAATGGCACAGTGAAGAGAGAATGGTCAAAAAGTAGCGCACCAAATCGCGCTGTTAAACTAATTATTTCCCAGGATCAGCGTAGTCTGAGAAGAAGTTATTTTGTCGATTATGATTAGTTTCATTCACTCTCAGTGTTGATCCAGAGGAAAATATCAGGGAAGTATTTGTGGCAACATTTTATCGCGGAAAAAGCACTGGAATATACTCTCGAACTTGTTTGTATATTATTCTGATAACAGGGTTTGTCGTTCATGGTTTGCTTACATCGAAAATCTCCACATTGCTTGAAACAACAGCAAATTTGAGGTCGTATGAAAAGCGTAGGACGATCAGTTTTACAAATTATCTCAGTCAAATTCGGACTCGTACATTTGATATCTAATGATAGGCAGGTATTGTATCCTTGTTCTGAGATCTATCTTTTGAATGATGACGAAACTGAAACCAGATAGTTGTGCATCATTCAACATCATAGCCTGTGCGCTGAGATATTATATATTCGTAGCGTTCCTTAACATTACACTGTGTAAGAGAACGTACATTTTGTTTGATTTGGGTATCTGTCTTTGAGTTCTCTGCACGTATCGGTGATTGAAACCTCTCACGAAATGATGATCATTGAAGAGAAGTGGGTTTTGGCTATGTGAGGTCACTCCAGACTGATCTTGCGTTTGGAATAAGTGCAGATGAATAATTGTCAGCTCCTCGATCTAGACTTCCGCATTGCCACATGCAGCTATTCCAGTGTAGTTGATAGTTTTTTCTAATGACATCATTTTGCACAATCGCTGTATGTATTGCAAAGGAAGTCGAAGATAACTGAGAGTACATTCGATTGGTCGGACTTGCCATAGTAGAAGACTCACTCCGAAATCCTGACCTAAATCGAGTGAGCGAAGTCTATTCAGTCGCGACAGAATATTCTCAACGAATGTTTCGAGACGCTACAAAACCCAACTGAAATTAGAAAGAAAAGCAATAGTATGAACTTTTTTCATGTATGTCACCCTCTTCTGTGTGTACTTACGAGCGCAAACATGTTGTTTGTTTCGAATTTGAGATGCATAAGTGAATCTGAATGACGAAGAATAAACTTATAACCATTTTTCCCCTGCCGCACGTCACACAATCGTAATGTTGTCAAATGTGGTAAATGCGTAAAACGGGAAAGTTGAAGAGATGATGCTGCGATGTTGATGGCAAGCGGAGACAACGATTCAAATTGATGAATGACCAAAGAAATCAGCTGAAGAAAAATAGTGAAATCGTTCGAGGAGGAAGAGATCTGTGAAATGTTCGAAGTGAGTGAATGATGACATTGAATAGGAATGGACGGTTATAGTGTGATTGAACGATGTCACTCGTATATGATAAATAATAAAACGATCGATGAGAAGAGTAAAATAAATCGTCTGCCGTAGAAGATATGAATAAAAATTGAAGGTGAACGCGGTGTTGAATAACTGCGCATGTGTTCTTTGGTTGGTATTATGAAAGAAAAGGACTCTTTGATTTCAAAATCGGATCCGAACAAATTTTCGGAAAATCAATTTTAGATTTGTTCTATTCAACGTTACAACGTTTTCGTGTTCTGATCAAGTTTTGACCAACTAGAGATCTGTAGACAGAATAGTATCGACTATACAGCTACATCAATCAGTAGTTACTAGTGTATCACAACTAGAGATAAGAAGATGTTGGCTGTTGAATCGAGTCATGGGATGTATTACAAATAGGCTAGATCTTATTGTCTGTTATAACATTACATTGCGTAACAGAACGTAAAATGTTGGTAGATAGAAAAATTGAGAAGATTGACTAAGTATTCTTCTTGTAAAATATTTATTAGCTTGACGATATTATTATCGTGTGTGAGAGAGTACATTAATATGTATGGTTTCGATTTGATGGTTCGTTTTCTATCATTTTTCTTTTTTTTGTTTCTTCATAGAGCATAACAAAACATTCTAGCCCGGCGTGTTCACAACAATAAGAATAACATAAAAACTAAAACAATGACATGTATTCGAGCATTTTTTGTTAGAATTATATTGTGATTGGGCTGTAAGGTGATGTTTTTAACGATTGGATTTAGCAACACGTTCAAGTTCATCTTTACGTTTGATGGCAAATGATGTTGATGAACCCTATAAGAGAAATTCAGAGAAAGTTAAGTATTCTACTCTCATAGGATGATTTTAATTTTGTTGAAGCAGCCTATCAAACAATAATTCTCAAAATTATCATTTGCGAATTAACAAAACTTCGACAATTTTCTTTTGCACACGCCGACGTTCAAAACCACATGAATGGGAAGTGGTAAGAATTCTAATGGAGTGCATCTGTATTCCGAAGAATATGTAGTACTTACTTTAGCAGCATTAATCAATTCATCAGCGAGACATTCAGCAATTGTTTTAACCGATTTAAATGCTGAATCACGTGCACCTGAACGAAGAAAAATAAAGTATTAGTTTTCCCATAAAGTCATTCTATTTGTTGAACATGCCTGTGCAAATTAAATATAATGCTTGGTTGACCCGTCGTAATGGTGAAACATCGACAGCTTGTCGTCGTACTGTACCGGCACGACCAATACGGGTGGAATCTTCACGTGGTCCACTGTTGATAATAGCGTTGACAAGGACTTGAAGTGGATTCTAGAGAAAGAAATTTATATGAAATTCTTGCTTTTTCATGGAAGATTTTCTTACTTCGCCGGTAAGCAAATGAATGATTTCAAATGTGTGACGAACAATACGAACAGCCATTAATTTCTTGCCATTGTTACGTCCGTGAAACATCAATGAACATACAAGACGTTCAACGATCGGACATGATGCTTTTCGGAAACGTTTCACTTGGTAGCGACCAGCTGAGTGTGGAAGAAATTTTGGTTGTTTTGCTCCAAGAATATAATCCTGAAGAATAGGTCAATAGTTTCATTTCGATCGGAAAGAAGTGGAATATCTTACTTCGAGTGACATATCCGAAATTTGTACTTCTGCACCGGGCCATTTGCCAAAAAGTCGAATATCGGTTGCTGCTGATTCCAAAGCCAGATTATCGGTTAACGTTAAATCAGTCATGTTGGTGGATTGGATTTTCTCTTTTCACACACGGAAAAGGAGATCGAAGAAACGAATCTAGAAAAGGAATCAAATACATTCATTTCCAAATGATTTCTTTTGAAATCAGGCAACGTCCATCGTTGTTGTTTTCTTCATTTAAAATGTAAAATATAGACTCTGCAGCCATCTTCACTTGCACGTTTAAAAGTCCTCATTTACATTTTTCGATCTTATTCAATTGGAGGAAAACAGTAACTCCGTTGGTTGGTGCATTTCAACCATCCGGAGAATACTTCGTTTACTTACATTTGGTTCGTTGGATGATGGATGTCAGAAGATGACGATGCGACGAAGAAGAGAATAAAAAAGAAGAAATTACATACTGAAGAGCTTATTATATTATACAGGATTCTCGATAGAAAAGAAGAAGAAATCGATTTCTTTTGACTTTGTAAGAGAAGGTCTTATTTATATATCAAAAAGAAAATTTTTTGGCAATTTTTTTTTTCAAACAAATTAATAAATCATGGTTCAATGCATCATATTTGATTATATTTGACGTTTAATTTTTAAAGTGACATGTAAATAAAAACAGCACTTAAGAATTTCCGTTTTTGTTAATTCTTTTTCTACCCTCTGTAGTGACATTTGAGCTAGGAACTTAATCGAATTAATAATGTCACTCTTCACATCATCATCATCATCATCAATTAATTTCTCTTGGGAACAAGATTGAAGGAAGAGAAAGCTTTTATAAGCACTACTAACATGAAGCGACGCAATATTCGACAATTGCTTTTGCGTGACATGCACGATAGTACTATGGTTTGAATAGAGGTCGAAGCAATAAAAAAAAAGAGAGAAGAATAAGTAATTCTCGATGCTTGATGTAATCTTTGTATATAGTAAGTTGATCGAACGAGTAATACATGAAGACAGAGAAGAACGAAGGATACGAACGAACTGATTCGATCATCAACAAAATTTTTCTTTTGTACATATCGAAAAGCATCGAGAGAATAGAGAGAAGGTCGCATAGGGCAAAAAAATCTTTTTATTGCTGTTTGCCAGACACATAGTTTAAATGTCTACTCAGCGGTCGCATCAGATTTCACGGGGTAAAAAAACTCTTTTTCATCAAAGTTCTTTTGTTTCTTTACTTGCATATCGATTTGCGTTAGATTACATTGTTTTAATTCCACTACAAAAAACGTCAACAATTAATGTCGCCTCAATCGAAAGGCAGACGAATGTTGACCCAACAGATAAAAACATTCTTCATATTGGTAGTGGAAATAACATTGACTTCATCATATACAAGAATGCAGATTCAGGTAAGGGAATTTATGTAAAACACTTGCACGGAATTGACATTAAATTTCAGCGCAAGACGAGAATGAACCAGTTGGATATACAACTCAGTTTAAAGTGTTTATGACAGATAAACAAACGAAAGGTGTGCATCAAGAGAATCGCGTATTACATTTTTGGTTTTACGATCAAAACGATGAAGAGTATTCGGATGATGTCAACGAGTTTATGCGTGGATTATTCAAATCAAGTGAATTTCCGCGCGGTGAGAGAGATCAATGGTTGCATGTTCTCTATTCAGTAGAAACTTTCTCATCTAGATTATTTTTTGTTTATCAAACGTTTAATGGAGCTATTGAGAAGATTCGCAATGATACGTAAGATACAATTGGAAATTCATACGTTAACTGATCAACAAGTAGATAATGATCATCCGTGTATGTATGACTTTCACTGTAATTAAACTTTCGAACAAAAACGAGCTTCATATCATCAATCATCTTTTCCCTTTCGCACACGACATCAATGCATGATGGATATCTACTTTGTTCGTTCATTGTTTAGTTTATGAAAATAATCCCCAACGATATGGCGACGAGGTGAAAGATAGACTACTGGATTTGCTTGAACAAGCCTTTCCTAATCCAATGTTTGTGAATGATTTGGCGAAGTAAGTTTTGCTAGTTGTACACCCGTATTTCACAGTTGTCTCCTTTTCTTTTTTCTTCATAGATATGTTGAATGTGATGGTGAAACCGTTTTTCAGTACCTTGTCGAATTAGAAGAGAAAAATCTCGTTAAACATCTTGATCATGATGGTCAACAATGGACACGTGTTGTTGTCTCGGCTGAAGAAGAAGATACTCATCGTGCGTGATGCATTGATAACTAAGATTTACAAAATCTTTCTTTTTTTTTGTAGAAGTTATTCCCTACAAGTCTATTGCGGAACTCTCAAACGCATTTCGTCCAACGATTGCTATTATCACAGTGAATTATTTTGAGAAATTAGCTGTCGATGCCATGATTGAAAATAAAATCACCTTTGTACGACAAAAAGCAGGTAAAGTAATTCGATCAATCCACTCGATTTCCTTACTTTTTGTCTGTTAAGGAGAATCAAATGTTTACACAATCGGCACAATCGGATCTCACCATGTTGTTTCAACAAAATTACCATTGATCGGTCGTAGTCGTACAGCTCAAATTTCAACAGGAAGTACAACGACTCGATTATTAGGCACTTTTCAGCATGTTCAACATGTTTTTATTATTGGTTGTGCTGGTGGTGTACCACATTATACAGATGCAAATAAACATATCCGACGTGGAGATATTATTGTTGGATATCCAAATGAAGAAGATTATGTTTATGGTAAATATACGCGATGTCGAGAACGATGAATCTATTGAGAGATAAGAACAGTTTTAGCAGCGAGAAATATGTATATATATACAAAGTAATTATTCGAGTGATGTTAATGCATTGTCGATTGGTGTGAAGGTGTATGTCAACATTGAATGTAAAGATGACATTTCCGATGAGTAATACATATGTGTTCTTTCTCTCATCAAGATAAAAGTTCATGATTCTCCGTTTCACGGCGATTGTTCGATTTCTTTCTCCATATCTAAGATAAATACAAAGTGTTCCCCTGAGGTTATCTTTTCTTTCTCTAGTTAATCCTATTTATGAACATAATAGAGACAAATATCGCCTTTCTGTTCTTCTTCTTCTTCTTCTTCTTCTCTTAATAGGATCTGATGATTGATTGCGAAATGACGAAGAAGCATGTAATTATATCACTTACGGGAAGAAATACTAGAATTCTCGGATGACCATATCTTCCTGTTAGTTTCAAAAGTCAAATTTGAATACGAATTTTTTGCTTCATCAATTATAAAAGAGTCGTTCTTTCATCTTTTTCTTTCTCCTCAAGATGGTCAACTAAGTTTACGGAGAAAAGAATTTCAACAAAGAACAGATTGGTTATGTACTTTAAATGACGTAATCTAGATTAAGCATCATGCGAATTTCATGATCATTACAGGAGAACATATGTAGATTAGGATCTTATTTCTTGCTTCGAAATCAATTCTAGGCATTTATGAAGCCGAACAATCATCGGAAGGTTACGAATTTGTTTCGACATGTTACAAACCTAAAAATCTTCAATTATATCAATTAATGGAGCCAATTAAAGAGAATTACCAACAAACAAACGCAACACGGCCTTCTACACATAAATATCCATGGGAAAAGTTTCTCGAAGATGGTATGCAGTATTTGCTATCACATAATATCGATTGTTTACCACCATCTACTGATCATCTTTATATAAAAATGGAAAATGGTGAAATTGTAGAAGTCGAACATCCAAACAAGAACACAAGAGATTATACTCGACCTAAAGTTTGCTTTGGAATGATCGCTGGTGGAAAAAACATTTTAACAAATGATTATTTCAAAACAACATTAAGTGAAAAATGCAACGTACTTTGTTTTGATTCTGAAATCGATCAAGTATTAGCAGCTATTCAAGGCAATCAAATCGAATCATTCATGATTATACGTGGCGTAGCCGATTATCATGATGGAACATTGAATAAAGAATGGCAACCTTATTCATCGTTATGTGCTGCATCATTCATGAAAACAATTATTTACAAAATTCCATATTCTGGTGAAACGGAGAATAATAATGTACTTTAGAGAATCATTTACATTCCATTTTATATATATGCGTGTGTTTTTCTACATGTACGCTTGTTTTCTATTACATGTATTTCGGATATGAATATTCATTTTTAATTATATACAAATATTTCTAGATGATATGGGCAGAAATCGATATAATCATAGGAGAAATTCCTCGGTGATGTTAGATGCTGGTTATGTGTCAATACAAGCGATAGATTTCTATGGATCAACGCAGATATTTGGTTTACATGGTAGAAAATTATTTTGTGTTATCTTCATGGTATTTCTTCTTTTCATAATCAGTTTTATCAATTTAACAGTAGGTCTATTTGATTGTCATGCGTGTAAATTACGAATATCTTTCGTAGTGCTTGGTATTTATCATGTACAAACTCGATTGGACGCCGCTACACAAAAATGGCTCGAAAGTCTTTCGATTCGATAAATTCAATCATCAGATTGAATTATATAAATCAACAACATTCAAAGATATTATTTATACGACTCAAATCAAAGATGATTCATCACTTGACGTTCTTTCCAGAACACCGGTAAACTCGTCATTACAAAATGCAAAATAAGATGTTTTCTTTCAACATAGATCGATATGTACGGTGATCATAATTCGCTGCTGTTAAATGAAAATCAAATCTCAATGAACGCCGAATATTTTTCTCTAAATCACAAATATCTAGTTGACTTTACTAATCTCAATTTGTATAAGTTTGACGGGAAGAGAAAAACAAAAGTTCATCTTAGTCAAGTTGATTCTCATTATGTATGTTATGATATTCGTTTGAGAGAAAACGATTCAGATAATTCCATTTTAGATTCATGATAAACAATTGAATTTGACTGGAGAGAAACTTTTGACAATTACAAAAGCAAATCGAGTGTCATTAAATGGGAGAAATATAAATGTCGACGTGAATAAACATCATCATCGGTCAGTCGTTCGTCTTGGTAGTTATTGGAAAAGAAGAAAACCGACGGATTATCGACAAGTATGCTCGTTTTTTTTTATCAAGACATTTATTTATTCCGGAGTGTTCGATTTTCTTGTAGAAGATTGCCCATGGAAATTTACAATTTCAAACAAATTCAATCTTTCTCGATTTGCCACGATCATCGCCTGGACAGAGTACTTCTTACAGTGAAATAAATGTCTATCGAATGTGTATTTGTAATACAACATTGTTACTCTTACAGAGCTTTGCTCATCAACCATGTCCTCTTTGTTAACAAGTATATACGTGTTTTCGTCGTCTTCAGGTGGTATTTCTGTTGGTGCTTTCCTTATATGTTTCTACATTGTGTATACATTGATTAGGCGAGTTATTTCAAATTGAGACAAATCTGTCGTATAGTATTTTTTATTGATCTTTTCTCTCTGCCAAAAATTGTTTTTGTTGCGTTGATTCGTGCAATACTACATACATAGAATAAAAACATTTTCTCATGACAAAACTTGGTAATGAATGAAGATGCTTGAAACCATGGCGATGATGATCGTGTCACATTTTTCTATTCCTATTAGAACGGAATAACTACATCTGAGAGTGAAAAATGTTGTTATTACTAAACTACTGGTGTGCACTGATCAATCAACTATTGACAAAAACAGTTTTGTCCTTGCCAACTCTATGAACTGTCATTTCGATAATAATATTATCATTAATTCTTCCAACTGAATTATTCTGTCCTAAGAATTACTTACATAAACACATGTCTTTGTCTCACACTCGTGTAGATAGGACTAAACCTAGATGAAAGGCAGAAAGAAGGAATTCGATTAAGTGGTTAAACGTGCTACAATTCGTATACTCTGCGATTTACAGAAACAACATTACAAAAAAGAATCGCTGCACCCAGCAATAAATCATTTGTGTAATATTCAACGGTAGGTAGGAATAGTTGGCTACACTTTTCTCACACCCAATAGGACTAGCAAGAAATGCAAGCATGAAGAAAGTATTTTGTTTCTTTCATTAGCTTAAGTATAAACGTTTACGAGGATATGAACAATGATGCGATGTTATAGTGTAAAAATTGTCGATGATTCTTTTTCGTGATTTATGTATCTAGTTTTGTATGTTAAAATAGGAGCTAATTCCTATTCAATTCACGTTGATTCTACTGCTTTCAATCTGATTGGTCAATGTATTTTCTATTCTGACAATTATGATTGTGTCAATAATAATATAATATTTTTTTCTGTTCTAGGTTGATAAGCCCTGATTTATTCATATTTTACAATTATCTATTTTTCAGACAATCTTATATCATACATTTGAGCTATGTCATCTTCGGAAGTTACTGGCAAAGAACGAGCGTTCGCTGCTGCTGCTGCCGGTATGTTAAAGTTGAATAAAACCTAGAGAATCACAGTAAATATATATATGTTTTTATTTTGCTATTGTAGCATCGGCAACGCCTCCATCGACTCCACGTCGTCAGAGTACAAATGCTGACCAAGTCGATACGAAATTAACCTTGCCTAAAGCAGCATACTATGTCATATTTGTCGAAGGCTGTGAACGCTTCTGTTTTTACGGTCTTAAAACGATTTTACTCCTTTATTTTATGCATTACTTACTGTTAAGCAAAGACACCGCAACATCTTACTATCATTTATTTTCTTTTGCATGTTACTTCACCCCGACTATTGGGGCTATCATATCCGATGGTTATATCGGTCGTTATTCAACGATTTTATATTTATCAGTTGTCTATTTAATCGGATCAATTATTTTAACATTGACGGCAATACCATCTGTTGGTCATCACCACTTGTAAGTAGTGAATAATCTGTGTACGAAGTAGAAATTTTTCTTTGAGTTTCTAGAGTAGGACCATTCATTGGTTTGCTCCTTATTGCATTAGGAACAGGTGGAATAAAACCGTGCGTAAGTGCCTTCGGAGCTGATCAAATCTCAATGACCAATGTGAGATGACGAAAATCATTAGAATTGACTTCCTATTCATTTTTGTTCTTTTTTTTCACAGCCAAAACAATTAAACCGGTATTTTGCTTTCTTCTATTTTGCAATCAATACCGGCTCGTTAGTATCAACCTTACTCACGCCTCTACTTCGAAGTACACCGAAAGAAATTAGATTTTATTGTCTATGCCATTTTTCTCTCTGACTAGGTAAATTTAGCTGCTTTGGCTACGATTGTTATTCATTAGCTTTCGGTATTCCGGCATTATTAATGTTAATTTCAATAAGTAATTTCATGGTGACTGTTTCTCTGTCCATACCATTGCTTTTTAGTCATATTTATTCTGGGCACGCCACTGTATAAACGTGTACCGCCAAAAGAAAACATCATCGTCAAATTCATTGCCATTAACTTAGTAAGAAGAGGACTATCGAGTTCTTGATGGTTTTATTCAATATTTATATGCGTTTATAGCATGCAATACGTAATGCAACATTTGGCCCATCAACAGGATCAAAAGAACATTGGCTTTATCATGCAAACGACAGATATAGTGTTCGTAGAAAATGACTTTGTGATCGTTCAAGCACCTTGAATAGCCAACGGATCCTATTTTACTTTCAGGCCGATGATATCGAAGATGTTCGTTGCGTTCTTCGAGTATTCCTTCTGTTCACGCCAATTCCAGTCTTCTACGCTTTATTTGATCAATCCGGTTCACGCTGGACTTATCAAGCAACATTAATGAATGGAAGTCTCGTGCGTATATTGATAATTAGAACAAAAAAAATCAAACATCTTAAAAAACGACTCGAAAACCTTTAGGGACCGTTCGGCACAATTCAACCAGATCAAATGCAAGCAATGAATAGTTTCTTCGTACTTCTATTCATTCCAATGTTTGAAGAAGTAATCTATCCGGCATTCGCTCGGTGCAACTTATTGATAAAGTAAAGCTAATTTAACAAAGAGCCATATTCAACGAGGATGAATATTTTTCTACAGGCCATTACAACGAATGTTTGTTGGAATGATCGTTATGGTTTTTGCTTTTGTTGTCGCAGCAATTCTTCAAAGTTCAATTCAAGTAAGCGAAAACTTCTACGATTATTCGACCTAACATATGTCCGTTCGTGACAGTCAAAATCAAGTGCAATGCCAGTTCGTTATCAAACAAGTCTTTTCAACGGCTATAATTGTACAATTAATATTAATAATATGCGATCTATCGAGCCCGGAAAAGTAAAAGTTCTTTTCCAATAATTGATAAATTACTGGAAACTATCTTTCAGACGTCTTATATTCCGTGTACAAAACTACTTGTTGAAGGAGTCACTTTTACCTCCACATGTTATTCATCGGATGTTTCTTTTAAATTAAATCAAGACGAACTTTGTCCATCAGTTCTAATTCTGTCTGAGGTCGATGACGAAGAACGCGGCAAAGTCCTAGGAGTGACGACAGTAAGTGAAATATAGCCAATAGCTTATTATCTAACGAAGGATTTCCTTTGCAGTTAGCAAATTCAATAGCCAACCAACGTGGTGCTAATGGGTCTGCTCTTTTACGGTGAGAATTGTCAACTGATATCGCTTCCAACACTGAATCTTGTCGTTTGCTTAGTGTGGTTACGCTGGATGGAAAACAATCGGATGTTGAAACCGTTCCGAATAAATATAATTTTAAAATGAGCAAAAAGCTATTACCGACAGACTATAAATCAGTTCTACCAACAAAGTTTGTATTTCATTTCTGTTTCTATTTCCTCTTCCATATGCCGTATTCACTTTCAATAGTTACGAAATTAAAAACTTAGCTACTCAACAAATAAGTGCTGAAAATTTTGATACACATCCAACAGCTGTTTATACAGTACTTCTTCATAATTCAAACAACGATCGAGTATGTAATCCTGAGTTAGAACACTACCATTTATGCACTCGTATACACTACTCATTGAACCATTTATTAATTATTGTTCAATAGCATTGATATTTGAAGTATTTTGTAGTGTTGTGTAAAGAAAACGATACGGCATTTTCATGAGTATTTTTAATGTCGAAGTCTGA